ATCAATAAAATAAGGACATGTAAGTTAACTATCATAATTAAAGCAATCTAGAATGTGCCCACTCAAGGCACATTGTAATATTCTATAGCTAGCTGATATGCAAATGCTATTTCTTATCTTCTTTATTTATAAAATAAAACAATTTCATTTTAATAATTATTAATACCAGTTCTATAGATTATTAAAATGATATAATTAAATAAATTCAATTAAATTTATAATTTTAATAATGCTCAATTCAAATATCATTTAGTAACTTTATTAGTAATGCTAAATTGAAATATTTAATATATCTAATAAATAATACTCAATTCAAATATCACTTGGTAACTTTATTAGTAATGCTAAATTGAAATATATAATATATCTAATAAATAACACTCAATTCAAATACTAACAATGTAAACTTGTTTAGTCCCCATAAATGACTTACTGGTTTCTAATATGTATTCACACAATCTAGATTCTTCTTCATTAGTAAATATTTATTTATGATTCTTAGCATCACCTAAACTTTTAACACCATTTTTATATCTTCCTCTCAACGTTGTATAATGTATGTAATATTTTTTAGCAGATAAATTCAATGTATTTGTTATTTTGTATTTTATGGCTGCATCAATTATACTTACATCTCTAATTATGGTTTTTCTCTTATAATTTCTTTTAATACAATAAGAATTATAGTAAATGAATAGTTGAAAACTATAATGTGATTTTAACCGTTTGACCAACCGCTCTACCCCAAGGTGACATATAATATAAATATCGTTATAGCGTGACAGTATCGCCATAAACGTCTGATAAATTTTATTTTATAGCTAATACATTAAGGAACAAAAGTGTCAATTAAATATACTAGAGAATGATTTTTTATAATTTTTGGGGAAAAAACAGTTTAAGACAAAATATATAAAACCAGGTAAATTTTTTAGAAGATGAACATAGTAAGAAATTAGATATAAAAATACATCTTCGCGTTAACATTGTTACCCCGTCAATCGCTTTATCCTGGTCTCCCCTACATTTGGGTAACACCTTAAACTACATGCGCGTTTCAGAGAAAAGCTGTTAACATGAAGATGTCTTAATTTATATAGGTTACTTTTAAATTTTAACTCTTGTATATTTTTTTTTTAAAACCCCGAAGTTAAGATAATAGTTTTCGGCTAAAAACTAGCGTAAATGATTAAAAATATAGTAATTGCCCAACTATACATTTGAATAAAAAAATTAATAATTTTTATTTAGATATTCAATTCAATTTCTATCGATCACTCTAGGCTAACGATCATTTATTTATTATTTAATCTGATAATTTGTAAACGACTTTTACTTTTTTTTAGTGTTGTTAAATTACCCTTGGCCATCTCAATCGTGGCTTAGTCAAGCCTTTAGACAAAAAATTGAATTAGCCTCTAAGTTGAGTCTCAACTTGAAGATTGATTGGAATATTTTTAAAAAACAACATGGCTAGGGCTACGCTGTTTTATAGTTAACTAAAGTTAGATAGTTTAACAACATTACCTTTTTTTTATCATTGTAACAAAAACTTTTACTTCTCTTATAAATTTAAAAAATCAGAAAAACCATCATTAGACATCTAATATGTCCAAACATAAATCCAAAATAAAAACAAAAAAAATTATGGCCATATACACGAATCTTTCACAAGCAGAAAAAAAAAATGGTAAATAGAATTTGTCATCCAATTTCATCCACAAGGGATTATTATAATTTTTTTTTTTAAAAAAAATTAAATTAAAAAAGATTAGAATCATTATATTTTTTTTATCAAAAAAATATATAAATTTTTCAAGGGGAATAGAATATAAAGATGTTTTTTGAATAAAAGAATAATTATTATTAAAAAAAATAACTGGGGAAAAATTATTTTTAATAAGGAATTAAAGTTTTCTATAAATAATTCAGTGGAATATAAAACCTTAACCCATAAAAAAAATGTCTATTTTGAGGAAAAATCATCGTTAAAGTATTTTTATGTTACTTTTTTAAAAAATTAGAAAATAAAAAGGGGGTTTTATAATATTAGAAATTGCGGGGAGGTGCAAATGGAACCGAAATGCCAGATATATTTTGTAGGAACCCACATGAAACAGGAGATTAGGGTCCAACTCAGGGAAATTGTCGTTACAACAGCTGATTTATTTAAATTTCTATTCGTCTATTTAGGTTCACATGGCCAGTCAGATTTGACAGGTAACTGATTACATTTTATTTAAAAATCATTTTTAATATATCTTAATCTTAATTATTACTTCATTTCCTCCGATAATTGTGTGATTTTAATTATATCTCATCCAATTAAAAAAATTTCTCCAGTTGAACATTCCTTGAGCTATTGTGAAAACAGTAAATACCATATTTTTTACAAAAAATTCTTCATAAACGTTTTAACCCTGATGAAACTCTGAATGAGCATAATATTGTTAATAAACAAGCAATCAAAGGAAGAAAAGTTCAGACTCATATAGAAAATCCAGCACTTTCTAAAAATTTATGAGCGTCAGAAAGGGAATCGGAACTAAAAATATGTATTGTTTCTTCCTGATTTTATAGAAGCATTAAAAATATTAGCGCTTTGTTTCTTGCAAGAATTTTAAAATATCCCAGGCCCGAAATTTTTTTAAAATATTGGTCCCGACACACCTGAAACAAAATTATTTGGACCGGGCCATGATTTGCAGATATCTAATATAAATCGTGATTTAAACTCTGAAGGTCAAAATCTCATAATAGTAAAGTAAAATTCGCAGTCGATAGTCCTCATATATATGATCAATTGATTATTGCAGTGGTTAAATCACCGTATAAAAAAAATGTTTCTCCTTTAAAGATTTCGATGATCAAATAATGGACTTGAATGGTCATTTATTAGAAGCCTATTTATCATGTTGAAGTGGTCACTATTCTAGGTTTCACTATTTTTTTTGTTACAAGACGAAGACAACGGCAAGACACAACTTCATAATCGATTTTTTGATTAATTCTTATTAAATATTATGACTTAAATCTTATATAATATATAAAAATTTTAACTTTTATTTTTTCCTTTATTTTTTTACAATAACAAAAAAATGCGAATGAAATTTACTAATATTTATTTATATTATAGAAGATTAAATTTAAAAAAATATATATTATAAATATTATACAAACAAAAAGTATGATATTGGATGGTTATATTTTGTCAAATAAAACTATTTAAGAAGGTCATTTTTAATCAGGAGTTTGACTGGAGCCACACTATTGGAATCAATAGAAATTTCACTGTATAATTAAAAAGATTTGATTCATTTATTATAAAATTATTCTTTGTTAATTTATCTATGCTTGTAATTGTGTAATGTAAAATAAAATGATAAACTTCTATTTTTTTAAAGTAAAAAAACTGGCACAATAACTGTATTTTAAAATTTCTACCTTTATTTTCTTGATTTTAAAGAAGGAAGAACTTTTCAGGTTTGATAAGGGCGCTGATTTTAATGTGAATAAAAATTGGTCTAACAATTGATTAATTAGCAGTGATATTCTAGATGTTTCCAATGGGAAGCTGGGAACTTTTAAAAAATAGAAATTAAATTAGTTTTAAAAAATAGGAATTCTTAAATTAGTTTTAAAAAAGGGAAATTTTATCTTAAATTATCAAAAGGAAATTTATATCGAAAAAGATATATATATAAATTTTCAAGGGGCTCTTCAAAATTAGAGGTATTAAGCCCTCTGGGTCTTCTCTATATGACGCCGATGGGAAAACGACGAATAATATAAAGATATAAAACAATATATAATTTTTATGTAGAAGACTCATTCAAGTAAAGTCATAAATCAAGGATTTGCCCTAATGTAATGGTTCTAAAATTAAACCATTAGGGGTAAAGCCATTAACTGACTATAAATTTGCTGGTTCTAGAATGTTTAGCATTGGAGGCATAGTGAGATCATCTATAATTATTAAATTAATTGCTGCAATATGCAATTTAAGGCATAGCTCCCTTTCAATTAATTCAATTTATTGCATTTTATACTATAAGTATGTATGGACTTAACCAAGTCCCTCCAATTAGGTTGCCTATAACAACCCTTTATTGGGTTCATCCTGAAAATAGTAATTTTATAATTTAATAACAAAATCTATTGAATAAAATTCACTACTGTGTGAATTGGAACAATTAATTTGTTTTTTGTACATATCATTAGCAAAAAAAAGTATTTAGTACTTAGGTTTAGACTTTTATTCTACAATTTGAAACTTCTTATTTTTATAAATATATAATAAAATATTTATTTTTAAATTTTTTTTTTAAATGTCAAAATCACAAACCATTTTCAATAATCATGATTATATTAATATTTTATCTCACACATAATTGAACATTATATTTATGTATTTCAATCATTATTATTTAAATAAATGGTAAAAGGGGAATAAAATTGCATAGTTTTTATTTAAATAAAAAGAAAAATTATTTTTTGAAAAATTTTAATTTAAAATTTTTGTTTTATCTTTTACCCTGTGCTCTAGATCCGAAATTAACTTAAAGCTCTTGAATAATAATAACTTAGATGATAACAGCTTCGATTTCCTTCGATTAGATTCTTTTTCCGCACCTGATTCATCAACCTTCGCCAATAATGATAAAGTAAATTCGATCTATCTAATAACTTGGAAGAAAAAAAAACTTTTACTTTTAACAAAAAAAATTAAATTAAATATATAAAAAATATTAACACACATCTCATCTCCGCAAAAAGTAATACGATATTTTATATTTCTTTAATTTTGGTGCGAAACATCAAAACACACAAAATAAAATTATGATTATCATACATACTACTGAAAAGATAGAATTTTAAAAAAAAGAAAATTATTTTAAAAAAAAAATAATAGCAATATAAGAAGAAGTGATCTAATTTTTATTTCACGATATAAATATTTAAGTTTTGATTTTCATATTATTACTTTAATTCGAAAAATGATTCCTTTTATTTTAAGGGGACACATATCGTAGAACCTTCCGACGCATTAATTACTAGTAAAAAATTTATCGAATCCGAAAATTTTATTGATCATTCTCGTTCCGCAACAAGTCACCACCCGCAGAATCATCATTTAAAGAACCACGCGATTCATTTGCGATCTGTCTCAGACGGAGTGGATGACCAACAATTCGATTACAATGAATATCTTTTCAAAATAAACAAACAGGATAATTCAAATAATTTAACTAATAATTCGCTGAAATACGTATCAAATACCGATAACGGAATTCCTTTGCGTGATTCGAAATGTGTTCAATACCTAACGCCCGATAATGCGCCCCGAATAAAAGGCTATCTTTGTTCTGTTCCAATTACTACAGCATCCACAAGTCGATATAAAAATTCTTTGACCAATATTTCCTCCTCCAAAGCGTCTTTATCCGATAATTCATTAGTTGTCGACAATAATTTGTTACTGCCCCGAACTTCGAGAACCGCCATTCTGGATTTTAAACAATCCCTAAATTATCAAGTATAAACTTTTCTTCTTCTATTTTTTTTACTCCTCTTTTAATTTAGATCTCCATTCATCATAACCCTTTTCGACATATCAATAAATCTTAATTGAAGGGTGAAATATTGTATGATTTTATTTGTTAATTTTTTTCTCTGAGTTTAAGTTATATTTATATTTTAATAAAAACATTTTAGGTTTTTTTTTGGAATATTTTTTTAGTTTAACCATGAAATTGTCATTATTAAATTGAGTTATAGAATCGCAAAAAAAAATATAACAATTATGCGGGGACAAAATTTTTTTACTATATTTTAAACCTAAAGTCGATCTTTTAATATCGATTTTTTAATTTTTAATTTTGACACCATGTTTAAGGATTCAATCGGGCCCGAGTTCATATTGAAAAGCGTTCAAAAACCAATCTATTTAACCCTATTCGAATCCGATTTCAATGAGGTAAGGATTAATTTTACCTTTTCACTTTTTAATTATCATTATGGGTGTACGTTTTTCAAAAGAATTTTTTAAAAAAAAATGTCTATTGATTACCGTTTTTTAAATATTTCACATGTACCTAATTAGAATTATAAGTTTAGATTCTATAAATTATTTTCTACTTACACATCATTGATTGTAGTGATCGTCATCGAGTCCCTTGGTCTCTGTCTGGTTTTGTTTATTTTTTTAAATACCGAAATGTCTTTAAAGGTGAGAGGATGGAGTGCTTGTTAGAGTTAAAGAAACGATAGGACTCTCCCTAAAGTCTTCCGAATGATCAGAGGAGACTATTTTTGCTTCATCATAAATTGATTTAAAGATATAAAATTATATTAGGGCTATTACTTAAGTTTAATCCACGCTTTTATTCAACAAAGAATGTAAATAGATAATGTTTTAATTTTTTTTTATTACGTCTTTAATATTTAAAAAAAAATTATAACTATACTAAATTAGTATAAGTCACTAGCTATATTTTTAAGTCAAATAGAAAAGCAACATATTTTAATTCAGTAAATCCGCTTGATTTTTATATTACGCTGACCATTCATTCACAAATTTTCATTTATAATCAGTTTTGAAAGTACAAAGCAAAATCATTTTTACTTTATTTTTAAAAAAACCCAGTTATACTAAGGTGAAATAAAAATTTCTCAACATTATCATTCATTAAGGCAAAAATGGAATTTGAATTAGATTAACTTGTCAATTCAAATTCATGAATAATTAATTTTATAGATATAATTAACATTTTATATTAAAATCTAATTTTATGTGTATATTATAATTAATTATTTATTAAATATAAATTGCTGATTTAAATTATTAATATACTCCCTAGTACAACATGAATAGGCTCAAGAATGGCAGCGGAAATATAGAAGACTACATATGCTTCCCCCACAAAGTTAGTTTTTTTCAAATATATGCAATAAAAAATTCAGTAAAACTAGTTAACTTTCATTTTAATTCTATATTGAAACCGTTATTTAACATTAATTATTTTTTAATCCATCCTTATATTCGACTATTATGTTGAATTGAAATATTATATGATTCCCAATAATCAATCACATCACATTATAACTAAAAAAAGTAAAATAAGAAATAGATTTCATAATTTATATTAGCCTTATTACTCATTTTAAATCGGGAAGAGGAAAAAACTAAAAGTAGCAATTTTATTTATAATCTATGAATATATGTGTAACAAGAAGATTTATATTAAAATTTATATTTGCTGTTGCTCTGTTGTTTTTTAGTTATACTTATATAATATTTATTATTATAATAAAAAATAATTATATTAATGAGTAAAGTCATGATTCATTTTTTTACTATTCTGGAGCTAAATTTTTAATTGATAATTATTATAGGAATAAGGGAAAGTAGGTAATTGATATTAATTAAATATCCATATGCTACATATCTATCTATCTTACTATTATTATTGTATTAGTTAAAAAAAAATACATTACGAACATTATTTATCTAAACATTTTATATTCTGTGTAAAAACCCTTAAAATGTGACCTATCAAAGTTCGTAGTCTTATTTGTCGATGGTAATTACTATAAGGAACAGTTTTATGATTTATTTGGTTGACAATTATTTAATCATGATGGGTAACATTTTTTATTAAACTTTTTATTTTTTTTAACTCATACTTTTCTTTCTTTTTCTTCTCCCATTTCGTTTCCTTTTCCTCCTTTTCTCCTTTTTTAAAAAAATAAAATTATAATACTTTTTATATATTGTATTTTTTTTTTATATTTACTTTAAGTTTAAACCTTTTTAACAATATTTAATTATAGGTTTATTTTAAAAAAAAAATCAAAATTTACATAAAATATATATAAAAGTAAATATTGATTCATTTAAGTGGAATTTTTATTTTAGTTTAATTAGTTTAAATTCTAAAGGAAAGGAACAAATAGTAGCTTATTCACATTTATATGTTTTATTATTCTTTCTTAAACAATGTTCCTAAATTTTATAAGTGGCTACACCCCCCCCCCTCATTTTGTTATAATTTCAACTTTTTGTTAATTATAATATTAAATAGAACATTGATTTTTTTAAACAACTTAATTTTTTTTTTTTTATAATTTTCATATTATTTTGGTGATTTTTTAAGTCCTTCAATCAATATTATAACAATACACTATTGTATAATGTTGTAAACTATGCAAAAAAAATCATGATTTTATATATTAAAACTTTAGAGGATACACTCATCTTGCATTTTTATTAAGACATGCCGGCCCGGAACCCCGTCCGGAACGGGTCGATAAATGTTGCGATTTTAAGAATCCAGGCCGGACTCAAAATAATTATATATTAATTAATTTAATTATTTTGAAAATCATATAATGGAACTGTTAATGTGCATTTCCTACTTATATTTCAATTTCCCTTTGGAACAATTTGCATAATACAGCCCAAATTATCCAAAATAAGTGAAATTTTAAATTCCGGGCCGGGCCGTAAAATGATAGAAAAAAAAATCAGGCAGGGCATAAAAATGAGAAAAAAAAACATTTCAAATTCGGGTCGAGACCAATATTTAGACCTCTGCTTCTTTATTTCTTTACATTTCCGGTAAAATCAGATTATAAGAAAAAAATTTAAAACGTGCTAAATATCTAAAATTGGCAAATAGCACGATCTTTGTTCGTTTTTAAATTTGAAGATTTGATTATGCCATAAAAATGTATTCTAGTATACAGGTAAAATAGTGTCTATCTAGACATTTCAGACAATCTGGTCAGGAACTTTTAAGTAAATTTAACTTATATATACTGGCAAGTGGCAACACACCCATTGACTAAAGTATTAATCAGTTAAATACCAAGGACTTCTACCACAGGGAGGGTTTGGGGAAGGGGGGGGGTCAAGATATGAAAAAGATTTTCATTGAAATTGAAGAGAAGATAGGAGAAGGTTGTTAATATTTTAGGTTTTGATAATTGTGATTTCTTTCTTTCGCTAATTTTTATTTGATATAGGGGAAATAAATTGTCATTGGCTTAGGGGAGGGGGGGGGGTGTACTGTTATGCACATTTAGCATAATATATAACTATAATACGAGTATATAGTAATTAAACAATTTTTTGTTTTTAATATTTAAAAATTTTTATAAAATTTAAAAGCCCAAAAATAGGAATGCGGAAGTCAAAAAAGTTTTAATTATCCTTCTAAATGGACAAGCCTTGGAAATATCTTGTCAGCTTAATACAGCGATAAAAGATCTGTTAAACCTGGTCATGGAGTATATGAATATAGTGGAAAGAGAATACTTTAGCCTATCGTATATAAAAGGTTTACATGAATAAAAAATGTATTATAAACATAATATAATATTCTAGTATTTATTCATTCTAAAGAGAGGTCTGATGGGTTTATATTTCTATCAAAAATGTTTTGAATTACTGTATTTTTTGTCTTTTTTCTTATAGTTAATTTTTTATATTAACAGATTCTGAACACATATTTTTGGAGCCCGAAGAAAAATTGAGCAAAATATCTCCCCCAGCGTGGAAAGCGGACAAAGACAAGCACCATATTCATATACCGCTGACTTTCAACCTTTTTCTCAGGATAAAATTTTACACTGACGACATTAACATAATAACGTAAACAACAAACAAATATTTTTTATATAAATGTCCCATTTTTTTAAAAAAAAGTCTTTATAAGGGTATTTAGAACCTAAAAAATGATACATTGGTAATGTACTAGATTCATTTATTTTTCTAATATAAAAAAATTTCCTGTTTAGTATCTACTAACGGATTACAAAATTATACAAATAAAGTAGCTTATATAGCCCGTAAGTATGATGGGAAATCAGAAATTTCCCTTTTGTTTGATGATGATCTTATGAGGTTTGAATCAGAAATTTACCTTTGTTTTGGAGGGTTTATAATAAGTGTACAAAAGATTGTTTTTAAACAAATTTATTTAATATTGTGTGAGCCAACTCCAACTATTTATGCTTTAATACAATCTATCTGAAATTTTTGGTGAAAGACAATTTTTTGGACACATAACTAATCTTGACTGACCATTTTTATTATAAATTATGATATGGGTAATATCAGGCGCGTACGCAGCGGGGGAAGATCAGGGGGACAAATCCCCCCCCCCCCCTCCAAAGCCAAAAAATGCAGATGCCGGATTATATTTTTCAAAAATATTATTGTTAATTTATATTTGTTAATATTTATTCCTATCTCATATATATATATTTAATTACATTTATTTATCACATTCATCTACTAAGTTATTTTATCAGTTTTAATTTCGATTTCAAGTTTTCCTTGGCATAATTTGCCTATTATTTTCAAATTTTAGTGGCGTATTATTTATCTAAATTTCTAGTCAAATAATAATTATCTCTGAAACTCCTCCAACAGGGAGAAAGAAATTGTAAGCTTGTCCAGCGTGATCGAGTCTCTGCCATCAAGCATAACAGCTTTTATGGAGTTAGAAGAGCCGATTATTAATGCTATTACTGAAATATCACAATGGCTTGAAAGAAATATTTCCTCAGAAGCAAGAAAATTATTGGATTCAATACTTATTCCAAATTTTTTTTCTCATTAGAATGTATTATTTAATTATACAACTACTTTATGTAATATTTTTCAAAAACATGACATTGACTTGATTAAGATGAGAATAGCGGAGAGCATTTTATTAGAACTCAAGAAAATTAGAGCTAATGTTGATGAAGAACATATTTTATATGTTATTGTTGAGTCAAAAGCAGAGCTATAGGTGTTTAATATTTGTCCCCATCGTCAAAACATTAATATAGGATCTGTATAAGAGTATTATAAAACAAATGTCCCCTCTCTTAGATACATTTATAACACAAATAAATGAATGGTTTTTAATTCATCATGAATCCGCAGATATTACTTCCACAAAAGCCTTTCCAACCTTTTTCAGATGGTGATAGAAAAAAAAATATTTGTTAGATTTTTGTCATGAAGATTTTAAAGTATCTTATGATGCCTTATTAGCTGAATAACTATGATTAAAAGATTAACCATGGTTGATACAGTCTCAAAAAATGCTATGGATGCTTTGTATTATTTCAAACACATTTAGATTATATTCCCAATGTATTTAAATGGCTATATATATTGGCAACTCTTCCCATTAGTAAACTAATGAGAGAACATTCTCTATTTTAAGAAGAATAACAGAGCCCTGCAGAGGTACCATTTGCAGGGCACGGCCCGGATTTTTTTTTAAAAATTTTTTCGGCCCGGATTTTTTTTTTTTTAAATTTTTAGGCCCGGCCAGTATTTTTTTAAAATAAATTATATTTATTTTTGATTTTTATAGCTAACTAATAATGGCGATTTCAAATATTTGGTTTTAAAATATGCAGCTCGGCCCGGATATCTTTTTAAAAAAAATTTTTAGGCCCAGCCCGGTTATGTTTAAAAAATTAAAATACGGTCCGGTCCGGGGGCCGGGCCTGCAAGTCTCTGAAAAACATACCTATGAAATACAACCTCTGAAAGTAGATTGAATGATTTGGATCTTTTGAATATTCATAGGCATTTAACGCCAAGCAAGGACAGATAATTGAAAAATTAGCTCAAAACATACAAAATACAATTAATCCTAAGAAACTTTTTGTGTATTAATTTATATTTCCAACATTTAAATTTTTTATACTTTATTTATAAATTTTAAAGGCTCAAAAAATTCAAATTTCAATTTTGGGTCATTTAAGTGATTCATATCGTGGTTATATTCACTTTATATTTTATAATTCACATTTATTTTATAGTTTTACAATGCCGGTTTATAGTATATATAATTTTTTTGTAATTCACATTAATTTAAAATTGTGTATTAGAAAAGTTATTAGTCCTAATAAATTTATGCTTAATATTTTTAAATAACAATATTTCTTAAAAAATTTCATTATCCCCCCCCCCCCCCCAGACCAAATTCTTGCGTACGCGCCGCGCCTGGGTAATATGTAGTATAAATATCAGAATATATATTTATATATTTAAATAACCAACTTTTCAAATATTTGATACCCATATTCAATTTATATATTATGGAATTTTTTTTTACAAATTCTGATCTCCTAAGGTCTAGCTCTAGGCCCTCCCACTTAAGGTGATAAAAAACATTATTGTCAAAAAATATTTTAATTACCTTTTATTTGATACTCATATTGAATTATTATTATTTAATCCCCCCCCCCTCTATTGGACCTAATCTAACGCATCAAGACCAAGAGTGTATGTTTAGTCAAAAGATATTTTAATTAGCTTCTATTTGATACCCCATATCAAATTTTTAACCTCCACCCCCAGACCAAGTTTAACCTATGAACCCTAAGAGTAAATATTATTATTTCAGTCAAAAAATATTTTGATTAGCTTTTATTTGATACCCATATTATTATTTTATGTTTATAAAAATATTCTATCCTCCCCCAATACACCCGACCATTTAAAGTGATATCTAACATTATATTTGTGTTGATAAAAATTATGCTGTTAAAAGGCTCGATTTTTAAAACGGCTAACCCAATCTAGCCAAGAATATTAGGGCATGGAGATTTTGCTTATAATAGAAATGATTTGACATCTATTAATGAAATATCGAGGTGTCTTATTTTTTAACTGAAATATTGGGTTAGCCGTTTTTAAATCGAGCCATTTAACAATACAAATTTCTGACCCCCAAGATCTAAACCCCACCACTTAAAGTAATATTTAACAACATATTCAAAACAAAATATGTTTTAATTTGATACTAATATCAATTTTCTATTTTTAACCCCCCCCTCCCGTCTGGACCAAGTTCAACCCATTTTTAGTTAATACTATCATTTCAGTCAAAAGATATTTTAATTAGCTTCTATTTGATACTCATATCAAATTTTTATTACTACCCTCCCCCCCCCCCCACCCCCAGACCAAGATAATCTGAACACTAAAAGTAAATATTATTGTTTAAGTCAAAAAATATTTTCATTAGCTTTTATTTAATACCCATATCTACATTTTGTGTTGGTAGAAAACTGGCCCGTAAGGCCTAGCCTCACCCATTAAGGGGAAGAGTTGGATAGATCTTTTGATTAGCTATCGATTGATACCTCTGTTAGACATATCTACTCTTATAAAGCCAAGAAAAATTAACTAAGCTAACTGATTAATATATAGTTATATGTTGAAAAATAATTACTATTAAATTCATATTGGTATGTAATAATTGCTATTTTTTGTCTAAGGTAACATTTGTATTTTAGGTTTTCGATGTAATGCGATGTTTTAGATTTTTGAAGATAATAGATATCATTGGAAAAATATCAGTAGATTTTTTTAATGGCAAGGTTGTCTAAAATTTTGATGTGAATATTTTTTTTTCCTTTATGCTATTTAAAGCATTTATAGTCACTAACAAAGCATGAAACATTGGCATAAATCTTAAAATTAGCTCTTAACGGAGATGATATAAAGAAATTACATATTAAATAGCAAACTGCCGATGGTCTGGCAAATGGGAATCGATGCCATTCACCCCCCCCCCCCCAAGTTCCTAACCCCCCTTCCTTAAATGAATTCTGACTACGTCACTGAAGACTTGCTAAATATTATAAGAAAAGACATTAGAACTTTTAAGCGTATGTATATAACTTATATCTGCAGCATCCATCTTGATTAGTGCAAAGAATTTTAGCCATTTATTTGAGGAAGGGGGAGGAGGGGGTTGGATAGGCCCTTTATTCTTACAGTATCCGAAAAATATGCGCAATAAAATTATTTTTACATATATAATAATTATAATCTTCTTCACAAAATTTAAATTATTGTAAAAGGGATCCTAAGGCATTACACCAACATTATCTACAAGTGAGAAAAGATGTGCTAGAACAAAGGTTAGTTTGTTCAGACGACGAAATATTTTCACTGGCATCTTTCGCTCTTCAGTCAGAATTTGGGGATTTTGAAGCCTTAAATTTCGGTCCAACCTCGGCTTATTTCATAGTAGAACATTACGTTCCTCGGAGAACTATAAACAAGTATGGCATTAAAGCATTGAAGGATAAATTGGTTGACGGTCATCGCAAATTAAAAGGGTTATCTAGAGATCAGGCCGAAATCAGCTTTCTAAGGGTAATTTGTTATGTCCTTATTGTTTTTTTTTATAAGATCTGTTTTAAAGTCTATATAAAGAATCCTTAAGTTAGATATTTGCCTTTTGATATTTATTTATTTAAAGAGCGCCGTCTTGAGCCTCTCTAGCCTTGGTAAATATAATTATGGAGATTTGAGAACAAATTTTTCGGCTGGTCACAAATTAAAATCATTTTCACTATTTTGTACCTAAATCCGCATTTATAGTAAACGCGTTATGTTATTAAAAATTAAACTAATAAATAGATATATTTATAAATATTTATGATAAAATTTGAAAAACATGTTGCGATGCGCTGATAAAATATATGCGATAGATTATAAAAATAATAGCGAATTCGATAAAAAGGTATATAATTTTTCTTAAATATTATATAAAATAATTATCCTTATTTTAGCTTTATCTTAAATTAGTTTTTAAAACTGAATCAGCTGTACTGCGTTAAATAACACAACGCTTGAAGATAGCGCGTTTACTATAAATGCAGGGTAAGGGACATTTCAATTAATTATGTCCTAAATTTTTTTTGGCTTTTTAATCATAGGAAGCCCAAACATTAAGAGAATACGGGATTCATTTTTACAAAGTGTTTAAATGCCGCCATAAAACGTTCATGCCTGTTCATATGGGCATCAGCTCTAACGGTATAATCATTATCGAAGATTTTGACGTTGACATGGCAGAATTTAGGACACCCATTGCCTCGGTGCCCTGGGCTAACGTCGATAAAATATCATTCGATCAAAACAGGTTCAGAATACAGAAAAAGTTTTTCGTCAACAAAAATTCCAGTATCTCGCAAAGTAAATTACTCAATCGAGAGGAGTTCTATACAGAAAATTGCAAAAAGTAATCGAATTATTATATATTTAAAAAAAAAATTATTTTAATAGTTTTGTAATTTTGATCTAAAGAGTCAGTTTATTAAACAATGAAATGAAATTTAGTGCTCATGGGCATTAAATAATTGCTCAAAGACGCAGGTCATTAAGTCAACGGAATTTGTTCAATGTCCACAGGGATTTTAGTAAATATGAGTTGTTGTTTTTTTTTGAGAAAATTTAAATAATTTATAGTGCGGGTCAGTCTGGTCAGCGAGCTGAACCCTACTTGTGCAAAATCATTTACTGGCTGCGTCAGGCCGAAAAACCAGATCAAAAATTTCATAGGTTGGTAGATTATACCTACCCTGTCAATTTCAGTTTAAAGTGTAAAAAAATAAATCATAAGAAATTTATCAAACTATCGATTATTGAAAATCATAAGGAATTTATCAAACTATCGATTATTGATAATGGTGGTCTGTCTCTCTGTTATAGATGTTTCGTTTTATTTTGTTGGTTTGTTTGTTTATACAATAATTTTGTAGATTGTTCACAATTATATCTTAATTGTAATTCTAATTTTAAACTTCGGAAATATAAGGGGTCGATATTTACTCAAGCTATGCGAAATGCATCACAAATTTTATCTAAATCTGAAAATGCGTAAACAATACTCCGAAATTTATTCTCAAAGTAAAAAAAGAAGTTCTTTTTAATATATAAATATAAATATAGATATATTATATTAAATATTATATAAACTTCTGCAACCCAAGCCGGTGCGGGAAAATTAAAAGAAAATTGAAACACGCCGTTTAACGGGCCGGGAAATGCGTTCATAAATTAAAGAGTGGGTAGATAATTTATACATAAAATATCAGGCAGGTCCTCGCAAATCTCTGATTTTTCGTAAAATTTTAATAGGCCATTAACACTATTTGAAAAAAATACAATATGGGTATTTATTTATTTAAGAGCAGTCTAACTAAAATACTAAATCTATAAATAATATGGTATTCTCAAAAAATTAAACAATTTATTTATGATTCAATTACAAATGCACAATACAGATAAAGATATAATTGATTATAAAACGATTGTTGTAGAAATAGATAGCCCTAGAGGAAATATATTAGATAATTTACATTAGAAATGTGATGGCCGGGAAATTATTTAAAAAATTTAACAGGCCGGAGCGGACTTTCCTAAAACTTTAACGGACCGGGCCTGACTTTTCGCGAATTTTTACCGGCTATACCAGGTAAATAAAAATGATAATAGATTGGACCGAGTATTCTAATTTTTTTACAACTATAGCGTACCGGGCCTGGCAAATTTTTTTGGTCGGGCCGAACAACTTGTGCAAAATCTCAACGGCCTGAAGCATGCTGGGCTTTGCCGACTTCTTATATATACTACCAGGACTGTGCCCCTGAATACTCATGATCTTACTGAACCCAAGCTAGAGTCTTGCGCGGTAAGCTCGGACATTGACGACTTATTTTCTCGGGCTCAGGCTCCGAAGCCCGATCTAATCCTCGAAAATTAAATATTATAAATAGCCTCAATAGTTTCATAGAAGTATCAATCAGAATCACATGCCATTTTTCATCTAACACATTTCACTTTTAAATAATTTCAGCACTGAGAGAAGGGGGCGCAGGGGTTCGACCCCCCTGAAAAATATAAAGAGCACCCTCAAAATTAAGAATTTTTTGTATGTTAGCTTAAAAGAAGAAGGTAATCTAAGATAATGTTAGCCAGAAAAAAAGGTTAATTTTAGTTAATGTTAGCTTTAAAAAAAGTGTTGATTCTGAAAATAATTTTAAAAAATTTTTTTGAGCCCCCTGAAATTTTCAAAGCCCTGTTTAGTTTCTATTTCCGAAATTAACAATTTTCTGTGATTTTTATTGTAACTAGGTTAAATAAAATACATATTATATTTTACATTTAACCAAAATAAAATCTAGAATATTAATCTGAAATATTTTCATTTGTTTTATCTAAGATCTATTCAATTTAAAAAGCCTCAGATATATATATTAATAAAATTGTTTATAGAATGAATCCGAATTTAAAAATAATTTTTGAAAAGATTAAAACTCAACAATTTGAGACCCAAAGGCAATATAAATGGGAAATCTGGAGTATAGGACCCACTTATATTTAATAGACATGGTGAAAAATTCCTCGGGCTCAGGGCTGGAAAGAAAAATAAATTTGAGCGATTATTACTTGCAATGTCCAAGTTGGGTATCCCCCTAAACCAATCTAAAATATCATTCACCGTTTATGAAATGAATGAACTGATATTGAAATTTAAAATAATGACTTGAAAATTATTTTTTGGCATATATTTCTTTACATTTGATTTCAAGAATTATATTACATAATTATAATTCTTACAGAATCTCCCGCCAGATTTCAAGACTATTCTCTTTATACGGATATAAATGAACGACTTCAATTAATAAAAAATCGAGATGACGTGATTAGTCAGATGGCTGCGTCCCCAGATTATCATAGAGGAGTTAATGAGGCGTATTTCGAAAGTCACACTTTGCCAGCTCCTTTGTCAAGCCCTAGACACCATCTCTATTCCCCGATGCATTGCACCTTTCATCCCCTATCTTACGATAATAGAAATAGTAATAATAGACCGTCTACGAATTTCGGCGATAATGATGCATTATTAAAAAATATACCACCGATTGGTATGAACTCTCTGAGGAGTAACGGTCATGTTAGTTCTAATCAACTCAGATGCACATTAAATCATTACTTACCGAGTAATAACGTTGAAACCGCAGTATTAACCAACTGCAGCTGCCAGTATTGTAGGCATCATAATCAAAATACTATTGAGGCCACATTTTACGAATCCAGTATGGGAAGAGATCAGTGTGGCAAAATGATGGATAGAAGACTTTTCAAGAACTCTAGATCCCTAAACGACTTAACAGCCGTTAGAAGAATGCCGATATTTTGTGAGTCGATTAAGGAAAGGAACAAGGAAACTACTATCAATGCAGCCAACGAAAGAAATGTGATTCATGACAGAAATAATAGTATAATTAACTCGCACAATGTTAACTCTGATAACGTTAGTAATATTTGTAATATCAATAATTCTTCTATAGAACGAGAAAGTAAACAGCAATCCTCGGGATATGGATCTCAAAGGTGATAAATAATTGTATTTTCATTGAAATTTAATTATAAAATGGTGCAGATAAGTTTGGTAACTTTTAGTAGCAGAAGCAAAATCAATTTTAGAAAAGTGAATAATTTAAAAAAAATATCTTGTTGAAGTCAATTTTAGACAAAATGTATTTACAAATATTTTTTAATATAATAATAATAATTGACTTTGACGCTGTTTGTTTATAATAATATATTCCTGTAGATCAAATTATAGCTTGGACTTTAATTTACAAGATGACGCATATCCTATTACACCTAATATCGAAAAATCTAATCAGACCTTGGAATCCAAAATGCATCCAAAAATTATTCAAAACGGTATTAGAAAAAAAACCAGCTGTTTTATAAATATAATTCTTTTTTATCGAAATTTTACAACCAATTTTATAAATTCTTTAATAAAATAAAAAAATATGTTTTTATACGAATACGCTTTTAATTTTTGTAGCAAGGAATTTCTAATTTTGAATAAGATTATTGACTTGCAACTAAAATTAGTAAAATAACAAATAAATGAAGAAATTTTTTGGCCTTTTGAAAAAGAAATAGGATTGTTTTACAGAATCATAATGCTAAACAGGGACTTATACCCCTCCTTAGAGGTCTGCATTGGGCGTTTTTTTGACCAAAAGCCCGCCCATCCAATGTTTTAAAAAAAATTTAACCCGCCTGCCCAGCCCACCCATAGTTTTCAAAAAATATATACCCACCCGCCCCACCCATTTGTCTAAAATTCCTTACCCGCCCGCCCGCCCATTAGTCTAAAATTTTTTACCCGCCTTCCATTATTTATAAAAAAAATTTAACCCAAGCCCGCTTATAAAATTTAATTATGGTCATTCTTTCATTTTTTTAAGCATCTAATAAAAATATTTCAGCATTACACCTTTAAAAGTTTATAATTTAGGAAATTAATATAAGTATTAAAATAATCAATGTAAATTATGGACAATTTATTTGATCAAATTGAATATTTATGAAAAATATAAATATAAAATTAATATTATATCTAATTATAATGCAAAAATAATAATGAATTGACATTTTCTGGATTCAAACACGTTCTTTTTTGTTCTAAAAATCTTTTCAATGCTAAATCCGCGTTCGGAAGAAGCACTAGAAAGTTTTATCACATTCCCATAAAAGGAAATTTTTAATAGACAAAAATGTTTATTTATTCTAAGAAAAAAGTTTTATTGTTGTGTTTATTACATAATATAGTTAGTTAAATGTTATTCACTTAAAAAAAAACGATTGGTACAATAAGAAAAGAAATATTGTTATAGATCATTTAAACAATTATTTTTTTTAGTTTGTTTTTGAACAAAATTTTTTAATTTCCTTAACCCGCCCGCCCATTGTTTAAATTTCATAACCCGCCCGCCCAGCCCACACATAGTTTCAATTTTTTTCTAATCCGCCCGCCTGCCCATTCTCGAAAAAATTTTTTACCCACCCATCCGCCCGCCCACTTAGAAGGGCGGGCGTGGGGGGCGGGCGGGCCGAAACCCCGCCCAATGCAGACCTCTACCTCTCTTCCCCTCTCCCAGCCAATTAACCTTTAATAAAATTTAGCACAAAGCTATCCTTAATTTCCTTGCCCTCCACCCCCCCCCTTCGATTTCAATAATGATTTCGCGTCATACAACTCCCCCCCCCCTTCCCGTTAGTAGTTCCTGGTGCTATCTAACGTACTTTTAGCAAGTATTTATCATAAGATGAGGCGAGGAAGTTGAGATTTTGGTTTGAAATATATTTTGAATTTACTTTATATCTAAATTGTCTCACTCATCACTTAAGAAATTTAATTTAATAAATAAAAGCCCATTTGATGTGTCATTCATTCGACGATGACAATAATTGCAAAAATATAGAAGATGCTCAGAGAACATTACTTTCGAATCACCGTCATGATAGATTAGAGAGCTTAGATGGTCTAGTAGAAAGTCAAAATTTGTATAATTCTCAACTATCAAAATTTCTGGCCGACAATAATTTACCGGATAGCTTGAAAGATTATCACAGAATCATTCACAGCTATCAAAATCGCCTTAATAGACTCGATTGCAATATACAAAATGTTAATAATAATTATAACAATGGTAGTAACCTATATCAATACTCTAACAGTAACCACCAATGTAATAATAACACTGTCATAGGCAACGGGCTCGATGAAGGCGTAACCCCTACTAAAAATAAACTCACGAAAACACTGATTAAAAGCGTTAACGTTACCCATTCATGTGTTCAGACCGACGCGGTACAAGATAGCAAAAAATGCGTTTACGGTAACCCTAACACCAATTCCCCATTATCGTCTCCCATGATATTGAACGAAAATTTTCCCATTATTTCTTATTCGTGCGACAAATTAGATAATATCTTATCATCTTTCGCTACCACCTATCCGTTTTACCTAAACCATCGAAACCCTGAAGATATAGATGTTAAATCAAATAGTGGAGATAATATTTGTAAATCGGTAATCAACGTGGAAAGCCCTAATAGTGAGATAACAGAACACATTTCCGGGCTGGATACAAAAGTAAAAAAAAAAAATATTATACTATTATAATTAAATTTAAATAAACGTTAAATCTAATATTTTAATGTTAAATAAAATAGGAAATGAAAGGACTCGTGTCTAGTATGTACAATATGCATTCATCAAAGGCTAACATCTCAAATAAGCTTGCCTATAACCAGTTTTAAAAATACATATATCACACATAGACATAACCAAAATTTCCGTAAATAATATTTTAAGCAACTAATAAAGGATACCCTTTACACTCCCCACCCCTCCATACTCCCAGCTATCTCTCCCTCATAAATGAATACAATAATAATTAATTTTGAAATGATAAGTAAAGAGTCCTGCATGACTATTTTTTTAGGTCCCATCCAATCCGAGAAAAAAATAAAAAATGTTTCTCGGACCGATCCGATCCGGGAATTTTTTCCTAAAGATCTGAATCCGATAAGAATTTTTTTTATTCAACTTCCGAATTCGACCGAGTTTGAGAATGTTCTGCCAGACCATCGCCAAAATCTGTTGAATACGCATAGATTCTTGCAGGGATTTAATAGGTATTAAGTTAGCAACTTATTAAATTTTTATAACACTAACTTTATAGGATTTAAAAAAAGGTTATTTATATATGCAGTACCAGCAGTAGAATAATAAAAATGCGAAATGATTAGTTTCTTAGTTTTAAAATTAATTGATTCTTAAATTTCATATTTTTTTAAAATCAAAATTAACCCATTTTAGTATTTCCCATATTTGTGATAAATGTTAACTCTAACCTATACATGTCTAAATTTTTACCCTGCCCTCTTTACTAAAATACATCCTTAAGGAAAGTAGGTTTCAGAAAAAATTATACCTACTGACCCTTAAAAGCTTACTAAACTATAATATTAACTTATCAAATTGGAAAAGTAAAATACTTTTTAGAAAAAAAACCGCGCCTTTTAATTAAAAACTGTAAAAATAATTCTAAAATACTGTGCATTTCAATTGAAAAACTTGACACTTTATTTTCCATAAAAAAATTAATATTATGTAAATGGGAAATGCATCCATGATAAAAGCCGGTAAAACAAGTCTAAGACCCTGCAAAAAATTTATGGAGAGTGAGGGATGGGGGGGGGGGGTAATTTTGCTAAACCTATATGATATGATATTAAATCATATTCTACTAAAACAATTATTAGTAATTTATTCTTTTTACATTATATTTAAGAAAATATTTGAAATAATTAAAATTTGTTTTTAATTATGTATTAAATAAAGGGAAGTTCCTGAAATCCACTCTCAAAAATTTAAGAATAACAACCTAACCAATTCCCTAAATCTTCCTAAAATTCATGAACAGGTAGAAAATAGCACATTGCGAATAAGAGAAGCCTTTGATTTTTTAGATAATCAAGCTGAAGAGGTGAACCAAGTAATAGAAAATTGCGAAACTTTTAACAATCTTCCTCAGGATGATGAAAACAATAATTTACCTATTACTGAATATCAACACTATTCTTCCATCCATGTAGATTCCGTTATTAATAAAAATGTTAACCTTAATAAAGAGATGATTCTGAAGGGCAACTATTTGTACAAAAATGTAAATGAGGCAAATAATGACACTAAAAATGAGAAATTTGACAATACGAGATACGTAACATTTTTCAGTAAAACTTCCTTGGATATTTAAAAAGAAAATTCTTTTTATCATAGTTAAGTAAAATAATAAACGATGTTATTAACGCCATCTATAACATATAATTTTATGTTTTAATCAATTTTTTTTATAAAAGGCCAAAGTTTTATTATATAAATATTTTTGATTATTATAAATTATAAAAGGCGTGAAATTTGTCGTTTATAAATCAATTTTAAAAATTTTTTTGTATCAATTATAAACCATCAGGGAATTCGTTTTATTATACCAATTAGTAATTGTAAATTTAATGTTTTTATATATAATAAAAAAATTATATTAAATATGAAAAAAATGGAAAAATTAAATTATCTTATCTGAATTAATAGGTTCATCATCTCTTTCCCTCTAATTTTCAAGAATTTTAAGATTGGTAAATTTGTTATCTAAAATCAGATTTTTTTAAAAAATTAGTTTTAGATTTATATTATTTATACTATGTTTTTCTTAGTTTTATAAATATAATTAGGTCGAATTTTAGTTGAATTGACATTTTATAGGTTGTTGGAGGGGGGTATAAATTTGGATAAGGGCTTATATAAGGGATATTTGGAAAATATATATAATTTTTGTTCGAATATTTTAAAACTATAAAATTCTATTTTCTTACCCCCTACCCTGCAAGATAAAACAGGAGTCAATTTTTTTTAAATCAATTGAATCTAATGTTGTTTAAAACGGCTCGATTTCGTCGATTTTAAATTAAGAATTTAATCGAAATAATATTACGTAAGCCTCGAGATTTCGCTAATAGATGTCCAAACCTATTTGCCATCTATGAGCAAAATATCCAGGCTTGCTTAATTTTTTTGGCTAAAATCTTGGGTTAACCGTTTATAGCCGTCACTAATTGAATCTAAGGAACACTTTAATTAAATTATTTTTTCTTAAATCAATGCCTAAAAGAATTTTAAAGAAACATTTATTAAAAAAACATAAGTTTTTTTTCTTTAAACTGTTAAAATTCTATAACCAAAATTATTTCTTTTTCCGAAGTGTCGAGTCGAACCACTAAACCCTAATGAAACTTTAATATTTTCAAAATCGTTTTAATAAAATTTGAAAGGGAGAGAACTGAACCGTTTTAAATAATACTTATAACCCAGTTCATAACGGAATATAGTACATGTTAGCATTCTTATTAATATTTTATAGTATTGTTAAAGGCCTCTTTTAAAATAGCTAATTATCTCTTGATTCATAAAAAGATAGCTTACAGTTATATTTATATTATATAATTCGTCATTTATAATATAAATTTAATTATACAAAATAATATTGTGATTTACAAATTTCAATCAAAGTAATTTAAATAAAAAAAACAATTAAATAAATAATTGTACCGAAATTTTTTTTTAATGTAATAAGCACTGAAAAATAAAATCACATTATAATATTTATTTGCACCGAGAAAATATATAACACAATATATTTTTTTTTAAATTGGGCTTAATAAATTTTTAGACTATAAGCTATGTTCAAAATTGGTGTCTAATAGACGCCCTATCCGAAAAATAAATCTCTAGTCTAGTCTCTAAACAACCTTCTACAGAAGTCACAAATTTGAAACATTATATTTAATAATTAGTAATTTTAAATTTGGGAAATCATTATATATACTGAATGAGATAATATAAATATATATTTCAAATATTCTTTTTATTACTACTATCAAATAAAATTATATTTAAATTAACATATCAAATATAAAAAAAAATAAAACATTATTTTATAAAAACTATATTTAACATATTTTAAAGTAACTAGCTACTTCTTCTGTCCTCAGACTCCATAAAATGTTACTGTTTACTTCAACAGGAATATTTTGAAATTTCCAATACTTTATTGTGTTCAAAATTTTTATATGATTAGTTCTAAAAAAATTTGTGTATAATTAATTCTATGTATTTATTTCTAAATTACCATTTCGATCTTAAATTCAACCCCCAGCCCTGGTCTAAAAAGGCCCCATAAATCCCAGTTCGAACAGATCTATTTTGATTCACAATCCATATATTATTATATCGTCGGTCTAGAATTGGAGTGCTCCACTCGACATTTTCAAAATTTTTGAGTTAGAAGTGGATAATAACTTATTTATTCCCAATATATATATAAATAAAAACTAGATTAAAAAAATATTAATTTTTGCCGTTATAGCTCTGTCAAAATTGATCAATAAGCTTTTCCTATATATGATTTTAAACTTTAATGTTGATTTTCTCATTTTAAACATTTGCGCAAGTGAAGCACTCCAATTCTAGCCCGACGATATCTATATTGAAAATACCTTTTTACAAATTATTATCTAACAATATTATCTCTTGCGAGTAAAGATCAACAAGGGCAAGAACTTATCGATACAATAATTTAAAAGAGTGAAAAGATCCGCCACAAGACATCTCAGTTGTATATGATAATTGCATATTCATAATTGTGTTCAAATTAAATCTATTACATAAATTAATTAATTGTTTTAAGAATATCTTAAAAATTTTTACACATCAAAATAAATTTATATTAGACTAAATATCATTTATTAATATCTATTAATTTAAACCAATAATAATATAATAAAAATATATATTATGATGTGGTAAATAATATCGGCAAATTCAATAATCACTATATATTTATGCAATAATATAAAATGTATGAATATTATTATAAATTATGTTATCCTAAAAAATAACATATTAGTTGATCCCATGCATAAAATCGAAGTATTATAAATTTTATCCAAAGTCAATAATAAAAAAATTTAATGGTTTTTATATATTAAGTGTGGTTAATTATGAAACATATGAAGGTAACATAAATTTTTCATCATTTCTTGGTTTATTTTAAATCTAAATATAAAAAAAATGCTGGAATCAGTGAGGAAATCGAATGTTGCATATGAACAGATCAAAACAAAATTTTAAGTTCTAGCACATTTTTCAGCCTCTAACAGACATTCTCTAACCAATATGCGCGAATGAACTATACCCCTTTTTAGTCTCTCGGCAGCGACTTTACTCCCGGAGTAAGCTGGTCTTATGTCCCTGCCCATATCCTCGATAACAGCTAATAGCTGCGAGTATTTACTTGGAGTTGAATGGTTCGCGCCAGTAGAATTTGAAGGGTTAAGTTTAGTAAGGTTAGTACCGTTAGCACTCGAATTATTTGCGTTGGGCAGTTTGTTTAAGGGTCCGAAATTGTTCATGCTACCGCTTCCTAGATTAATATTTTGGAATATATTCTGGTTGTTGTGGGTTGAAGAGTGAAGGTGGCTAGTCTGGGTCTGAGGGGAAGGGGTGTAGAGATTAGGATGGTTACTGTATTTGTTATGAGGGGCCGAGTGAGCTGGATAATAATTGATTTGATTGGTGTGAGACGGAGCTTTATGTAAATTTTATAATTTATATTATAATAAAAAAAATAGTACAAGTTTTAAATTTTACTATGTATATGCAATTGCTAAATTAATATTTCTAAATGTTAATAAATTATCAGTATTTTAATTTACTTTTAATTACTCGCTTATAGTGTGGGAAAAGAACTTAAAATATATAAAATGATGTTTACCTAATATCTCTCTAACCTTTTAACCTTACCTGCCCTGACCTCATTTAACGGTTACAAATTTATAACCCTCTGATCATTAATCGGTATGATAAATTTTTTAAAAAAGGAATTGTTCTTAGGATCGATCACTAGCCAATTTCATTATTATTTAAAAAGAAATTGCGTGATTTTTTTATTAACCAAATTATATTTTTACTGGTCCAAAACTATTGCCCAATTTTTTATTCAATAGTGATATTCTTATACTGATAAAAAAAATACTAAAGAGGGAAAAATTATTTCTAGGAAGGCCTGGTCACAAAATGTCACCTGGTAGTTAGGGCCTAAGAATACCAAATCAAAGTTGAAACTAAAAATAAAATATAAAATATTATTATAACATATGTCTTTTTATAAAAACTTGGAATGCTAGAATTTGATTTAAGCATCTTGGAATTTTGAGGATAGGGGAGTTCGTCTCCGGCTTTCATTTTAAAATTTCCGGGGTCTCTGTTCACATTAGAGTCCGATTTTATCATGGTACTATCTAATATTGTTATTATGTAAATAATAGCTTTAAAAGGAAAAATTAAACTAAAATTTTTTTAAATAAGCCTTTGATTTAATTCATATCGCTAGTATAATGGCTGACCCTTTTGAATATATTCAAAATTTTCGGTATGTGGGGCATTCCATATCAAATCGATCACGATTCGGTTGACCCCTTTTAAAATTGTTAAAAATTTCTGGAATTATTTAGATTGGTAAAAAATGAGAAATATTTATTAGCTAGTTAGCACACCTGATTCTCGAGATATAGGGGCTCATAGGTGAAAAAAAGAGACACTTTGGAATCTGTAAAATGATTATATATCAAAAACAGTTTATAATAAAAAAAATACCATATTGTAGGTAAAAAAAAATCTCTGGAGGTCTATCAAAAAATAAAAAAGTTTGGCGCCAATTCGAGTCTTTAACTTTCGGACCTAAATTATACTTATGTTCTTAAGCAATAAAGTGAGTTTGTTTCAGAAAATATTTTGCCTTTTATTTAGATATAGACATACGATGTCAAAACCTTGGCGACGCTATTGGCTCTTCCGAAATATAAATTTTTACCTTAAAAAAAATAGATGACGCTTTATAAAACTACGGATTATTATTAAATTGTGTTGCTAATGTTGTTAAACGGCTAGATTTGAGCCGATTTTTAAAAAAGGCTAACTCAATATTATAGCCAGGAAAATATTGCCTAAGCGTCGAGATTTTGCCAATAAGATGTTCAATACTATGTGCCATCTATGAGCAAAATCTTTAGGCTTGCATAATATTTTTCTGGATAAAATATTGAGTTAGCCTTTTAACAAGATTAGTTGCTAATAACTTTCCAATAAAAAGATATTTTTACTTTAAATTTCATCAAATATATCAATTAAATTGAGGGGCAGTGGGGACAAATGCCCCTTAGACACTTATCATGTATGAAATTTCCAATAATAAATAATATCTTTCATATAATTTTTTTTATTATTCATTTTTATTAATGATATAGAAATATAGATAGATAATCAAATTCATTTCATAATTTAAAATATTTGAAACAAGTTAGATATAATAAATAATTATATATTTTAAGAAAATTAATTAAAAGTTTTAATTGTCTCATCCTTATGTAAAGAATATTTTTGTCCGGTGCTCATTTGTCATGAGATGTGGCTGCCACTCAGCTTTTTTTCCGAAATCATCTTCATGATTCTTATATTGATGCTGCTCCATCTGAATTTTTTGGTCGGCATTGAAATCTCTCTGTTAATTAGCGAACTAAATATTTTTGGAATAAATGAACGGCAATTGTATTATAAATGAGAGATTCAGATATTATTAGGTATACATGATTTAACTTATTAAGTGACTTGTAATAAATCACAAAAGGATGAATGGTAACTTGCGTTTTATTTCAGTGAAACCGCTGTACTTCATCTTGAACCCCAAGGGCATTATTTTCAGCAAAATCCGCCTTAACGATGTATTCTCCATCATTTTTAATTTTCAAGAATATTGTTTGCTGCCTTGTTAGAGTATAACAGTTAAATATTTAGCTTTTCGAAAACAGTACTATAAAAATAGAGGTTGATGAAGTTATAATTACAAAATTTCAACGCTCTGTAGTTACCCATTGCTTGTAGATAATATATTCGGTATCACTTGAATATAATATTTCACTTATCATGGCCTTTAAAAAAAGATCCAGGGCATTGAGCACAATTATCAAAAAAGCAATTTGGTAATGTTGGATTACAAATTTTTTTTGGCAATATATTTTTGTATGTAATTTTAATTAAATCTTTAGGTAAACTCATCAGCATTAATTCTGTGTTCAGATTGGAGCAAACACATATTGAATGGGTACCATTTCTGCCAACAAATACACAATTCTAGAAATAATAATCACAAAATTTAGAGAATCCAATCATAATAATTTAAAATATAGCACCTTATAATTTAAGATATAGCACTAATAAATTAATTAAAATGAATCTTTTTTGGACTTAACATTTTTTATTATAGAAACAAAATCCTTTTTCCCAGGCATCGATCTTCTAAATTCATCATAGCTATAAAATGTTTTGACAATAGCTACGGTGGCGGCATTTATTGTCTAGCCGGGTTTAGGATTCGGTGTTAAAAAACCCCTTTTTTTATCAAACCTTTTGATTTAATGCCATATGACATGATTTATATATTAAATTCTTTTACAATTTTTCTTACTGTCTAATTTAATGGTAATTAATAATAATCTATACTTATTTGTAATCGATAGATTTTTAAGGTATCTAGATATTCATCGAAGTTTGCTCATCATTTGATAAAGATAATAGTATAATTTTAGTCGTTAAAACTTTCTTTTACTCTAGATATTTTTTTGTTTGGATATTTCCATAAGTAATTCTTTTAATGGGAGATTCCCCTATTGATTGTAGAGATACATTAATGATATCAATAGCCTCTTGATTTCTTGATTAATGTATAAGGGGGGGGGGGTATCTATATCTACATTGTCATTTGAAGTATCAGGAATTTTTGCTAATTTTTGTCGGGATGAAGAGCATATTAAAATGTCTAAAATGAGTGGTAAATTTTTTGGGTCATGAAAGGTAAAATCTTTCTAAGATTCTTGCGATAATATACATGTCTTTATAGATTAAATAGGTTGCAACATTCTGATATTTTAACATTTGGTACGTCCATCTGTGATATAGAATAAAATTTTAATTGATCTGCACCTAAGGTTAAATGTTTTTGCACTCTCAAAATCCCGAATGTTATTGGTAGACAGACAAAGCGTGCAGACAAGTTGAATTATTTAAAATTAATCAGAATGGGCATGTTAAAAATATTATGCATAGAGAGATCGTTTTGAACAGTTTATTTTTGCTCGTAAAATTATAAAAATTATTCTTTTTTAATGCAACTGTTATACATAATCGAGCTAATAGTCATACGCTATATTAGCAAAGTAGAGATCTAAAAAAAATTTAAAACTTTTTAAGGATGGTGGAGGGGGGGGGGGCAGAACTGGAAAATTTTATCACAAAAATCCTAAGTTTCGTAGAGCGCCATCTATTTTCTTTCTTTTTTAGTAAAAATGTATAGTTCGGAAGAATCGATAGCGTAGCTAATGTTTTGACATCGTATATATATATTTATAAAATGTGTCTAAATAAGAGGTAAAAAAAAATTTCGAAAAACTCCCCTTTTTGTTTAAAAACACAGGTAAACTGGAAGTTAAAGACTCAAATTGGCGCCAATTTTTTAGACCTTTTAGAGATTTTTTTTACCTACAATAGGAAGTATTATATTATTTTTACTACTATAAGTAGTTTTTGAGATATAAAATTTTAAAAATTTAACAGATTCCAAAGTGGCTCTTTTTGGTATGAGCCTCCATATCTGGGAAACTAGGTGTACTAGCAAGCTAAAATAAACGGTTTTCTCATTTTTTTTTACCTATCTATATAATTCCAGAAATTTTTAACAATTTTAATTTGACATGGAATGGCCCAAGTATTTTTAGCCCTTCAGTTATGGAGTTGTAGATAAAGGTGGGAATAATTCCATTTTGGGTTTTAAGCTTTCGTTAATATTATTTTAAACTTATAAAAAACTTCCTATACATTCCCTTCTACACAAAAAAAAATGAATGCAGCATGTCATAAATAAAAATTGCAAAAAAAATTAAAATAAATATAAGCTCTTCTCTCCACAGATCTTTGCTAGACTTATCCTTCCTTGTTCCTAATATTTTATGCTATATTCCACCTTTATATTATTTAATTTATGAATTTTCGTTTTCGTATATAAATTCTGTGTTGTATTCAAAAGTTGTCATATAAAATGCAATATTACCAATAAATTATATTTAATAATAAAAATAAATATCATATATATTATTATACAAAATTTAAAAAAAAACCAATATTACTTTTTTTAAAAAGTATAACACTGCCAAATTTATGGGAGAAAAAAAAGCTTATACTCAGGAAAATCCTGGCTACCCCTATGTTACACAATTTAAACAAGATTTTATACATATATTTCGCGAATAGTTTTAGTCAAAAAATAGACATTGATATGAACTGAGTTTAAAAAAAAATCGTTGTAAGGATTGATTGGGCAGCCGGACCGAACTAAAAAAATATAGTTCTGCTGTGAAGCTCTAATAGAAAGGTAATACAAGTAAGAGGTATATTATTTATTGGGCACATATATTATATTCAATAATTAGAGTGTCGACAATTTTAGAGACCGTTTATTATCTCGACATCAAATAACATTACATGGTAAAATTAGTATATTAAGGAAAGGATAAGCCAAAAATAATGGGGCCATTCCAATTTCTAATAATCATTAAATTAATTTCCCATCCAATATTAACATTTAATCATGAATAAATAAAGAAAATATCTGTACAATTTAAAAATATCGACCAATATCTTATATTTTATAAAAAGAATGATCGGACATTCATAATTGGGAATTATTCGATGATAAATATTAATTAGAATTCGAATATTCGTTTGTGAATTTATAAAAATTTTCATGCACTTTTAATTAACTTGAAACTCATCGGCGCCATTATAATTTTATTGTAAACAAAGTGATACATTCTTGCTTGTTTTTTAAAAAAATTTATTTTAGAAAAATATTATTATTTACCTTTTTACAGTAGGTTAAAATATTAAAAAAATAATAGGCTGTGATGTGTTCTGGGTTCGTTTTATTTTTAAAATTTCTGGATAGCCCAGACTAAACAAATTGTGAACTAGGACACACTATTTTTGTTTGTTACTTTTTAAACGGTTTACCACTATCATGGTAAGCGCGATGTCGTGGCGAAATAAGTATACAAATATCCAGCATATTTTTGAATTTTTTTTTAAGAAAATTTACCAGCCCGGCTCAAACTTATTTAAATATAGAAATTAATTTTTACAATTACTCAAAAAAAGACATGTTATATATAGTCTAGTTCTATAAATAAAATTA